AAAATAAATAAAATCCTATTGTCTGTCCTGTTTATTGCTTGGGCACTGTTATTTATGTGACAACACCTGAACATAACACACACAGACACACATTGGCTTCTACCGCTCCCCTCGCTGGAAGTCTCGGACTTCCAGCCACCCGCCTCCGCCTTGATTAAACGCTGAAAAAAAATAAAAGAGGGAGACAGGTGTCTCCTATTTTATCTTATTTTGTTTAATTTCTCCCTCTTCCCTCGCTGGAAGCGTCGGACCTCCCGACTCCCGCTCCTGTCTCAAAGGTCTCCCTCTCCGCTGAGCACCCACAGCGCACGCCCGGACTGTTAAATAGCCTGTAATGATAACAACTGTGTGACACAAACTCAGTGCTTTAGTAATTAAATAATGTCGGGTTCAGTCGGGTTTTGACAGAAATATGCGGCCCGTGCCGCACTCTAACACACACACACAAACACACACACGGAAAACCGGACATTATCATCAATTTATATAAAAAAAAAAAGAACGTGAAAAGTGGACATGTCCGGGCAAAAGAGGACGTTTGGTCAGCCTAGACAGTGCAACGTGAAAATGCACAGTGTGTATGCCGATTGTGAGTAGTGTGTGTGTGTGTGTGTGTGTGTGTGTGTGTTGATATGTGCATGCAGATGTAGGATATGTGCGGACAAATTATGATAAATGATAGTCATGATGATACATTTTATTTGTGTGCCTGATACATGTGCCTGATACATGTTCCTGTATGTGCCACATACAGGAACACACTTGTTATTCCTCATACTTATTTTTCGTATTATTTTCCTTCAGAATGAAATTTTTCTGCAGAATGAAATTCGTTCTTTTTTGTCACCAATTAATTCTAAACAATATAAATCTTAAGTATAAAATAGATCAAAATATATACGGTGCGCACTGTTTTAACATCTCCTTGCTTAGTGTAATATTAATTTGCCTGACGTGGCTGGATCTGTGAGCATTTGGTCGCTGAGAAGACTGTTAAGAGTGGGTCAGCTCGATCTTACAACTCCTTAGTGAAAGATCTTAAGCTAAGAGCGATCTGGGAAATGTGTTTTTCTTTCACGGGAGGCTTAAGAGCATTCTTAAGAAGCTCTTAGCGCTAAGAGCAATCTGGGAAACGTGGCCAATATCTTTGTTTTTATGCCTCTGCATTGGCGATAGCTGTGGCAGGAGGCATTATGTTTTCAGGTGGTCCGTTCATCCATTCATCTGTCCATCCCTCCCATTCTTGGTGCCCCCTTTTGGTTGGTTAGATTGTGTAGCATTGATAAATTCAATACATCATTCAGCCTCAACAGTTACAGATACAGACATACGTTGTCCTAGTTAAAACTGTCTTGTCAATTTGGCCAGTTCTCATCTACATAACATCTCATCTCTTCTCTTCAAATACACCAAAGAATATTTGTGCACAAATGCATTTTTGCCTTGAGAGAGAGAGGGGTAATGACATGCAGCAGAGGGCCACAGGCTGAAGTCAAACCCGGGCCGCTGCGGCAACAGCCTTGTAACTCATATTGCAGCGGTGCCTGGACAGCGTGACGTGTGTGGTTGTGCTGCTGCCATGGTCCTGCCAGATGCCTCCTGCTGCTGCTGCCATCATTAGTCATTAGTCATACTTCTACTGTTATTATACACATATGACTATTGTCACACATGTATACTGCCAGATATTAATACATACTTTCAACATATTGTACCACAGTAGCCAGAACTATAACTATAATATTATTACTTTCAATAATGTTGTTGTAAGCTACTGTCATTACCTGCGTCTCTCTCTCTCTCTCTCTCTCTCTCTCTCTCTCTCTCTCCCTCTGTCTCATTGTGTCATACGGATTACTGTTAATTTATTATGCTGATCTGTTCTGTACGACATCTATTGCACGTCTGTCCGTCCTGGAAGAGGGATCCCTCCTCAGTTGCTCTTCCTGAGGTTTCTACTGTTTTTTTTCCCCGTTAAAGGGGTTTTTTTGGGGAGTTTTTCCTTATCCGTTGTGAGGGTCATAAGGACAGAGGGATGTCGTATGCTGTAAAGCCCTGTGAGGCAAATTGTGATTTGTGATATTGGGCTTTATAAATAAAATTGATTGATTGAAATTGATGGGGCGCCTGCTCTATCCTCTAAACCACCGACGCCCCGAGTGAGTAGAAGATTAACTGATCCGCAAGAGGCATGAAGTTAAAGATGAAAAATGCTTTTCAACATTTTAAGATCAGTGTATAATTTGTGTTTTGCAATTTTAGAGTGGAAAAAAAAGGAAAGGAGCACCATGCAAAAGTTTAGGCATCCCAGGACATTTGAGCTCTCAGACAACTTTTACCAGGGTTTCAGACCTTAATTAGCTTGTTAGGGCTATAGCTTGTTCACAGTCATTGTTAGGAAAGGCCAGGTAATGCAGATTTCAAAGCTTTAAAAATACCCTCAGTACACACCGCCCGACATGACAGAGACCAGTGAGATTGACATTGGAATGGTGAGACAGTAATACTAGAGATAGATCTCAAAGCCACATCCACTGTATTTCAAGATTTCACCTTTTTTTTTTATTGAATCTGCATATTAGTCCACAAACAAAAAAAAATATCCCTGCTGTGTATGTTGTTGTGCCCCAGCCTCACGCCTGCAGGACAAACTTTGATGCAGTGTCCATGATCAGGGGAGAGCTGTCCTCTTTAAGTCGCAGTATGTTTGGCGTGTCCCTGATGGACAGCTACAAGCTGGCTATCCCATCTTGGCTTCACGCCACTGGAAAGGCATTCCTGACCATATCGATGCTGCATATGAAGACAAGTCTGGCAACATCTGGTTCTCAGCAGAACTCTAAACAGCTGCCTAGCACTTTGAAAGCAACGGATGCCCACAAAGCAGGAGAAGATTTTAAGAAGATAGCAAAGTGTTTTCAGGTAGCCGTACCCTCAATTCCTAATGTAATTAAGAAATAGCAGTTAACAGGAACTGTGGAGGCTGAGTTGAGGTCTGGAGAGAGTCTGAGAGTGCTGCTTGTAGGATTGTTAGAAAGGCAAAACAAACCCCTGTTTGGCTACAAAAGACCTGCAGGAAGATTTAGCAGACTCTGGAATGATGGTGCACTGTTCAACCCTGTAGCGACACCTGTACAAATATGACATGGAAGAGTCATCAGAAGAAAACCTTTCCTGTGTCCTCACCACAAAATTCAGCGTCAGAAGTTCACAAAAGAACATCTAAACAAGCCTGATGCTTTTTGAAAACAAGTCCTGTGGACTGATTAGGTTAAAACAGAACTTTTTGGAGGCAATGAGCAAAGATATTTTTGGCGAGAAAAGGGTGCAGAATTTCATGAAATGAACACCCGTCCAACTGTTAAACATGTGGGTGGATCGATCATGCTTTGGGCTTGTGTTACAGCCAGTGGCATGGGGAACACTTCACAGGTTGAGGGAAGATTCAGTTAAATTCCAGCAAATTCTGGAAGCAAACGTCACACCACCTGTACAAAAAACTAAAGATGAAGAGAGGATGGCTTCTACAACAGGACAATGGTTCTAAACACACCTCCAAATCCACAATGGACTACCTCAAGAGGAGCAAGCTGAAGGTTTTGCCATGGCCCTCACAGTCCTACGATCTAAATATCATTAAAAATCTGTGGATAGACTCCCAAAGAGCAGTACATGCAAAACGGTCTAAGAATCTCACAGAACTAGACGTCTTTGCAAAGAGGAATGGGTGAAATTCACCCAAACAAGAACTGAAAGACTTTTAGCAGGTTACAAAAATGTGTACAAAACTGTGATACTTGCCAAAGGGGGCGCTACTAAGTACTGACCATGCAGGGTGCCCAAACTTTTGCTTCAGGCCCTTTTCCTTTTTTTGTTACTTTGAAACTGTAAAAGATTGAAATTAAAATATACACATATATATATATATATTCTTGCTTAAAATATTGAAGAAATGTGTCTTTAACTTTTTGCCTTTTGGAAATAAGTTTATCTCCTACTTTACTACTCATACTTTAACTACTCACAGTAAACAAAGTTTTGACCATGGGTACTCAAACTTTTGCATGCCACTGTAGTTATAACATTCATTTTATGTCAAAGCAGTGAAATGTTCTCATTACTTTAGTCCACAATGACTGCTGCTGTTGTGCTGTGTAAAGAGTTTTGAAAAAGTAGACTCAGTTTTGAGGATTATGTAAAATGAAAAAAAGAGTAAATATAGGCCCAAAGTTGGCAGAGATTTGTGTTTTCCAGATGATCTCTGTAATCTGACCCAGACTTGAATCTTTTGGATCATTTTGTCAGAGTGACCAAGGAAAACTAAACCAGATGTATCAGCCAAGCTTGGAGCAGAATGCAAACATGAATGAATGCAATACAGGACTTGTTTGGCAGGGTTTTTTAAGAGCATGCCTCCAGCTACATTTTTATCAGCTCAGATGAGTCATTTTGGCATTTGCTTTACAATACTTCCATGTCATGCCATTTTTTTTGTTTCACTGTGTGCACCCACATTACAGTTTCATAACTACGCTACCAAGCCCTTTTTAGTTATACAAGTTACTTTCATAATGGATGTTATGAACTGTATCTTATATAATTAATTAAAAAAAAGAAACAAGTCAAGAAGGGAGGGCCCTTTAACTTAGAAAACTAAAAAACTTAATTTCTGTCACCCCAGCCCAGATTTAAATATAACAAGACAAGCATCTACAGCCATTAAAAACCTAATTTTTTAAAACTAAAACATATTTATTTATTTGTTGAAATATACTGACTCATTTACATATCTATTTTTATTCACATGAATTTATATATTTGTTGCCTCATTTGTTTATTTCAGGATTTATTAAATAGCCACATTAATTTAATTATTTCATATATTGATTGATTTATTCATGTAATTGTAATAATTGTAATTGTATTTATTTGATATTGACTTAAATGGCATTCCATAGTCCAAAGTTTGCTTGTGTAGAATAAAAGAAGTGCTTGTGTAGGTACTGGCATGGGGATAACTTGCCATTTGATGGTCCTGGAGGGATCCTCGCCCACGCCTTTTTCCCCAGGACACACCGAGAGGGCGAAGTACACTTTGACTATGATGAGCATTGGACGGTGGGCAACAGTGTGGGTGAGTACTTGGAGTTAAATGGAAATATTTTTCATGAAGAAGAAAACCTGGTTTGAAAAGTTTTTATAACTGTGTTCCTAATTTGATTCTGCTGAAGCCTGGGTCTTCAACAGGGGGTCGATGAACCCTAGGGGGTCCTCACAGTTACTGCAGGGGGCTGCCAAATTTCCTCTTGATAACTAACTTTAAGTTAAATTTATTTTTTCATTTTTATTTTTTTTTTAATTAAACTATGTCTGTAAACACACATGAATCTGGCATATTTTTTTTTTAGCAAAGATAAACCTAGAACTATTCATAAAACCTATTCAATTTACAGTACACAACATTAAAGGAAGGCTAACTGTTAACCATGAATCTTGGTGCAACAATGTGAGCTAGCTAATGCTAAATCACTATGCAGCTATCTCACTATCTTTTTTTCTCCACATATTGACCAGTTAACTGTATTATTATTCCATGTGTATGGAAATTCTTGTGAGTCACAATGGATAGTTTTGTAACTTTTCAAGCAAGAGACTCTGACAAGCCGTCCACCTCAGAAACCACTGGCAAATGTTCTGAAGGGTGAAGCTAATGCACCTCGCCATGCTACCACTGCTGCTGGCTTAGCAGGTACAGGCAAGCGCAAACGAAAGAAGACATGAAAATATTTAGGGAATGATCTCAAGTGCAGCTCAGTTTTATATAAAATTTGTTGTAGATGGTCCCTGCGCTGTCTGTCTTTGAGCTAAGGTGTCCTTGTTGTCTTGTTGAAACATTCAACAGATTCAACAACTAATTTTAGTGTCATTATCCCTTTATCCTTTGCTGTCCTGTTTAGGCACGGATCTCTCACAAGTGGCAGCTCATGAGTTTGGCCATGTCCTCGGCCTGCAGCACTCCCTGGAGCCTGATGCTGTGATGTGTCCTTTCTACAGCGACTCCTACCCTCTGCAGCTCAGTGAGGATGACAAGAGGGGCATCCAGTATCTGTATGGCCCCCCTCGACACGCACCGCCCGACATGACGGAGACCAATGAGATTGACATTGGAAAGGTGAGACAGTAATACTAGGGATAGACCTCAAAGCCACATGGACTGTATTTCAAGATTTCACCAGTCTTTGATTGAATCTGCATATTAGTCCACAGATAAAAAATATCCCTGCTGTGTATGTTGTTGTGCCCCAGCCACACGCCTGCAGGACAAACTTTGATGCCGTGTCCATGATCAGGGGAGAGCTGTTCTTCTTTAAGTCGCGATATGTTTGGCGTATCCGTGATGGACAGCTACAAGCTGGCTATCCCGCCTTGGCTTCACGCCACTGGAAAGGCATTCCTGACCATATCGATGCTGCATATGAAGACAAGTCCGGCAACATCTGGTTCTTCCAAGGTTGGTCATGTTACAGAAGCAAGCTTCTTTTTCTAAAGATGTTTGTGTGCTCACAGCTGATAACCTGCAGTTTAAAAATTTCAAATAGTGGAAATACTGTATCAGCTGAAGTTATACTTCAAATGGCATTTAAAATACAAATACTGAAAGAGGTTGAAATGGCACATCAAATGAAAGTGCTGAAAGAAGTAGAAGTGAAAGTTTTAGTTGGTGAAGCTTAAAGGGAAATTTTGGTTTATTTCAACCCGTCTTCTATCGTCCTAAATTTGTTTCAAGTCACTAGTGACATAGAAATAATAGTTAGCATGTTAGCCGTTAGCCTAGATACAGCCGTAGCATCAGACCTGTTAAAACGTAATTGAACAGGCATCCTTTCAAGTGCAAAGTTAGTCCACTAAACAAGCTTTTTCTCCACAAAGACCGCCTTATATCGTTAGGATAAATGTCAGAGAACATATGGAAAACGACATGTAAACATGTTGTCTTACCTTACCGGTGTGGTGCCATGTTTGTTGTTTACCATTTAGCTAAGGCTGCAACTGGTCCCATTCCTTGCAACAGAGGTATTCCTCTTCTGTGGGCATTGGGGTACAGCATTCACAGGTAACGTTACACCACCAATCTCCAGAGCTAAAGCCTTCCAGCAGCCATTCCTCCTCTGTCGTCCTCTAACATTACCTGTTGTGCCTCTCTCTCTCTCCTCCTCCTCCGTTCTTCAGTTTCACGAAGATCTTCGTCAGTGTATTCTGGCTCAAATAAATAAGGGCGGCCATCGCCTCTCGATGTGGAAAGCCTATATACTAACATTCCACATTTAGGTGGTCTTCAGAGTTGTTGTCTTACCTTACGGTGTGTTTACCGTTTACTTCTGCTTCCCACAGCATGGCCGAAATATCGCGAGAACAAGCAGTGATCTCATACTGTGCCTGAAATTTCACGAGAACAAGCCGCAGCAGCTGCAAGGCAGAACCGGACAGTAGCCTGAAAGGTTCATTCATTTATTTTATGAAAGATTTATAGAATAATAGCTGACTTTTTGCCAGACTTCGACTTTGTGGAGGAGGAATTTGATTTTGCATTTTTTTCAACCTGGGCCCTATTTTCCGATCTACTTTTGTCTAAATGAGTGATAGGATTTTCAATATTTGACATTTCTCCAGTACAAAGCTAGGGCTGACCTGCCTGCAGCCCATGAGTGCCCGCTATATTAAATAATAGGGCACTCAGACAGCGTCAAACAACGTCAAAATACATCCACTTAAAGTGCATTTTTTTCACATAGATAGGCTCGGATTGTTAGTCCAACGACTTAACAGAAAGGAGAAATGAAAGTCTGACTTTACGTTTAGCTGGATTCGGACATGTTCCTCTGCCTGTTGCTGCTCCCTCTCTCTCAGAGTTCTGCGTTCGTGTACTCCGTGTTCAAATAAATACGGGCGGTCATCAAATTCAAATGGCTCATCAAGATCTAGTTGGTCAAAACTGAGTAAAAATTAATTCAATTCTCCTTTCGTTGTGTTGTTGGATAATTATACTAACAATCTGAGCCTATCTGTGTGAAAAAAATGTACTTTTAGTGTGGACATATTTTGACGCTATCTGAGTGCCCTATTATTTAATATAACACGTGCTCAAGGGCTGCAGGCAGGTCAGTCCTAGTCTGAGTGGGCGGAAGTTAGCTGCATAGATTAGCCTCTCATTGGGCGGAACGAGCCACCTGCTGAAGTCCCGCCCTACCACCTCAGGTTGTGTAGCAGTTTTCAACCGATTTCAACACGTCCTTTACTAACTTTTGCGGTGTTTGGTCTTGCGGGGATGTAGCCATTTTTCTGCCATGGTTCGCGTCCTGTAGGCGATATTTTTGTGGGCATGTTACTAGAGATGTACCGATACCACTTTTTCTTTCCCGATACCGATTCCGATCCCTGAACCTTAGGTATCTGCCGATACCGAGTACCGTTCCGATACCAGCGCGTAAAATAAAAATGGATGGGATATGAATTGTTGTATGTCTCAACTCCTAAAACTACTGTAAAATATTGAGAAATGAATACATAATAATAGAATGAATGCCATAAAACTTTTTTTAATTTTATTATCCAGTGTTGATACAGATCAAGACACAGGTTAAAGTGCAGCTACACAATTTGGTAAAAAAGACATTTTAAATGCTACAGTAGAATGTTTTTTAAACTCCACTCCGTTTCAATTTCATTTGCCTATAGCGTACGTATGCATAATGAAGTGAGGCATTACATGGTATCAGATAGGTCTTAGGCTGTACTCGCAGATACCCGATATCGCATTTTAGGCAGTATCGGAGGCATTTCCGATACTGGTATCGGTATCGGTACAACTCTACATGTTACACCAAAACCTGTTTCCTCCTGGCAATATTTTTGCAGTGGCATTTCAAGCCTTTAAACTTAAATATATCAGTTGAAACATCAGCTAGTAAAAGCAGTGAATGCAGCTGGAGTAAAATGTGTATGAATTGTTGAGGTTGTGTGACTTTAAAAGAGCTGAAGTGTTTTCTTTTTTATTCAAAGGTGAAGATCTGTGATAGTGATTGAAATGTCAGCTGACATGTATGCATAATTTGAGTTGAGATGTTGGAGTGTAATCACCGACAGACTCTCAATGAATGCAGAACTCAGTTAAACAATGAGAAATGAAAGCAGTGAAGTGGAAGTGAAATAAAGGCAGTTGAAATATCAGTTGATGTGAACGTGCTGAAGACAGGTCAAGTGTGTGGATTGAAAGCAGCTAACATTTTAGTTTTAGCATTGACAACAGTGAAAAATCACTCCCTCCACTCTTGTTTCTGCAAACAGTCATTTCAGTCGAATCTCAATCATCATTATTATCAAACGTCAGAAGGATGATAAATGATTTATTCAAAGCGCATATGTTGAAACTGACTTTGCAAAGTGTGCCACAAATTAGGATAAAATGAAAAGTTCATTGACGATGATGATGGCTTGAAGGTAAATAAAAATAATTATTCATCACTCATAAATAATTTAAAATTAAGTTTGCGCCTTAAATTGAGAGACAGAATACTGTGCAGGCTGCAAAAAATAATTTCATAATCAGTGAAAGTGTTGAACAACCTAATAACAATGTTATCCATCTCTAAACTTAAATTCAATCTCTTTTTCACCCGCAGCTTTCTCAGCATAATGTACACCTGGTCTGTGTGCAGTATGTGTGTAGTTCCAGGCAAATGAAGTCCAAATTTTGTTTTTTCTTTTTATCTTTTTACCATGACAGGTGACAGCTACTGGGTGTTTGATGCCGAGAGGAAGATTACAGGACCTGATTCAGTGCGGCAGCTGGGTCTTCCTGTAACAGATATCCAAGCAGCTTTGAAGTGGGAGGAGGGCCGCGTTGAGAAAGTCTACCTCCTCAAGTCTGCTTCTTACTGGCCCTTCAATCCTCAGGAGAATCGACTGGATGATGTCCATCCCCGCAGCATGCACAAGTGGGGAGGAGTGCCTGGCCATATTGATGCAGCCTTTCGGGACAGATATGGTGGGTACAATCAGGAAAAGGCTTCATTTTTACTTTCACATGAATTTTCTTTGCCTCTGGTCTAGTGATTGGTAAAAGTCCACAGCTGACTTTTGCGTTTGTCACCCTCTGACAGGCTATGCCAATTTCCTGAGTGGGCTGCACTACTGGAAGTTTGACCCTGTGGCGCTGAAAGTGCTAGAAGGCTACCCCCGCAGCATTGGCATGGATTTCTTTGGCTGTTCTGTCTAAATAAGTTCATACACATACATCTGCTAAACATGTGAAGAGCATTGGGTGTAGTTTTCAGCCCAATTCTCCATACAGAACATTCTGGCTATTCTGGATATATACCTATACACTGATTTATTTCATAAAGATGACTCAGAACCCACATAAATACATCAAAGTCTTGCCAAAGTCTCTGTTCACTGCAAACACATAATTTTTTTAAACAATGACTTTGCATTTAAGAATACGTTTATACATTTACTGTGAGTGTAGGCTCGCAGTAACAGTTACTCAGTATGTGTTTACTTTTGCATGACCAGGAATGATTTTGTCATTTTGAGATAAGAAAACACATCTGGAGATAGCTTATTAAAACTCATAAAGCTTCTCCCCCAGTCTTTGGACCCCAAACCCACCATTAAAGAGTAACTCTTCTCTAGATCTCAGAGAAGTAGTACTGCTGCCCTAACCTTTGTGGGTCAAAAGGTTCAAGTCTGTGGTGATGCCACAAGTACTGTGTTAAGTGCTGGACTGTAATGGTTGCGTACTTAGCCTCAAGAAGTTGGCAGAGCAGGCACGATTACAAGTGTTTTTTTTGGCTTAAACCTGACCACATGTTAACTATAGTTTTGTTGAAACATACAGAAGGTTAAATGAATCCCATGCATAATAACGTACTATGTAACATATCTGTGGTTTGCAGAAACGTACAATGCCAACAAATATTCTGGTGAATGAATTGGAGTACAAGTACTCATTAATGTACACCTTGCTTACTAGCAAAATTGAGACACGTATTAAGACTTTGGTTTGCTCAAACGAACTAGGCCAAATGATATGTTTGACCACGTCTAAATACAAACATGGTTATATTTGATCTGAATGACCACACCTGAAGGTGGGCCAAAAAGCCTGCCACCTCCTGGCAGCATCTAGGGTTGAATTCTGAGCGCTGAGATCACTATATTTCCTAGAAATACTCTGGTTGTTGGCACATGTCTGCTTGTGTGTCTGTGTTAACCTAGTGAAGACCAACATGTTCTTTGAAAATGAAATCAGTTACGATCACTACATATTAATTTAGCAAAGCACAATCAAAGGTGTATTTAAACAACTCTAAAGCCTCCACACCCACAAGTTACAAATAGAAAAAGAGACATTGTGATTTAACAGGCAGCTTGTTGCAGGTATTTACTTTAGCCTGGATGACTGCACACAGCACCACTGAGGTCCTGTCCTCCGTGGGGTTCACACACCCTCCAACTCTGAAACCAGATGATTCCTCTGTGTGCTTACTAGTGGCTGACATTAGCAAGAACACACAACATGTAGTAACATCAGCATGACAACTTCCGAAATTGCAGGGGTTGAATTTCTCCTTTTTGTTGGAGGCAAACCCTGTCCCCACACCTCCAGCCCCTGCACCAAACTAACACATCCCGGACCAGCCTCTCCACTGCACACACGCAGACCAAACTGATATCAACCGTCCATCAAACACATAGGGCCCTATTTAGATGGTCTAAAGCAGAAGGTGGAGGGCGCATAATCCATGTCGCAAGTGTCATTGCTATTTAGATGCAGGCGCAGTTGTCATTTTCACACCCTGCGCCCTCGTCATCTAACTAGCAAATGAACTTGCGCTTCTCTGGGTGTGTTGTCTAAAAATGAGGGGTGGTCAGGCGCAATCATGGCGTGTTGCTAGTTAGATGACGTAAAAAGCAAATGCGCCAGTGACCAACAAAAACCTGGTCTAAAGTCAACGCACGGCGCAGTATTTCGCTGTTAAACAAGTTAGTAATATACGTCTCCAGGCGGGTGCACAACGCGCGTGCACTCTGCTCAGACACACACGGAGCAGCCACACAAATGAAAAAGATAACAAAAAAAAATATGATTACAATGTGAAAGGTTATTATTGTGCACATTAAAATATTTATCAGAAACAAGTCTTAATGGTCAGTCATTAATCAGAATGATCTAATCGCAGTAATAATGATCATCATAATTTGTAATAATAACAAATGAAATTGTGAAATTATCTGACCAATCAATCATTTTTTTGATTGAAAACCAAAGCCCACACATTGCATTTATTTTAACATGTTATACTAGGCTACATTATATAGGCTACATTATATTACACTGCCTGGCCAAAAAAAAAGTCACCACCAAAAAAAAAGGTCATACACTCTAATATTTCGTTGGATCGCCTTTAGCTTTGATTACGGCACGCATTCGCTGTGGCATTGTTTCGATAAGCTTCTGCAATGTCACAAGATTTATTTCCATCCAGTGTTGCATTAATTTTTCACCAAGATCTTGCATTGATGATGGTAGAGTCTGACCGCTGCGCAAAGCCTTCTCCAGCACATCCCAAAGATTCTCAATGGGGTTAAGGTCTGGACTCTGTGGTGGCCAATCCATGTGTGAAAATGATGTCTCA